TTCGACTTCCTACAGTCTCCAGCCTTGTGACCCGCCTCCCCGCACTTGAAACAATGAAGAGTTGAGCTGCTGCCCAGAACTCTAGCACCTGGACCAGCAATATTTGGGTTATTAATAAGTGTTGCAGCAACATCTCTACGGCCCCATATGGTGCATCTTCAAGCCTAGCACCACAATCTTGAAACTGGCCTGTTCGGAGACCCGAATCTCCTCTCATGGCAGTACTAGCCCCGCTCTTGGACTGTTGCTTCTCTACAGTTAAAGCTCGTTGATAGGCGTCCAATACAGTCCAAAGAGAGTATAAACTTAGGACATCCTGAATTTGATTGGCGCAATCTGACAATATATCGGGCAACCTGTTGCTCTTCAATCTCAGACAAGTTGTTCCGTACAACTAGCTGATAGAACTACTCAGTATAATCATTAACGGACCGCCCCCCTTGACGAAGGGTATGAAGTCGTTGAAACATCGTCTGGGTATAGTTAAAGGGCAAGATCTACTCGCTTAACTTTTTCTTCATCTTTTTCCAATCAGAGATTTTCAATTTTCCCTGTCTCTCCCGAGTCTTTTTCAATTGCTCCCACCATGCTGATGCAAGGCCCTTATACTTAATAGCCACAAGCTTAACCTTCCTATCATCGGGCACCTCTTTGTATTCGAAGATACGCGTGATAGAATCAATCCAATCAAGAAATTCTTCCACTTGCATTCCTCCTGTAAACTCTGGTAGATCAACTTTAATACCTAGATCCCAAGATCTGTTATCCGGAACATGGGGCTCCCGACGCGGAGCGTGTGCATGGCACGGGATCTCGAAAGCAGCTTTTGACTCACTACCATCATCATGGTGTGTCAGGGCTGGATTTAACGCTAAGCGCTAGGTCAGTTCTTCTACTTGCCTTATCAAATTTTCGAACTCTATCTCACGGAGGTCCCGCTCTCACTAGATCAGCTCATTCTCAGCACCTTGTTGTCGAGGACATCCACGAACCATGATGCCTTGTCAAGAGCACACGATCGCACAATAATCTAGGCTCCAATACCACCTGACGCAGTATAATCTAGGCTCCAATAACACCGGGCCTCTCTCTCTCTCTCCAAGAAAACACTTTCTTTATTAATCAAAATTCAATCTCCTCAATTACAATTCACGTGCTCCGTTTATACGAGTTTACATTCACGACCCAAAAGATAACTTTCCTAAAAGATCAAGGTAAAGAAACAAACTTTCTTCTCTAAGAAAACCATAAAAAAGTCCTATATTCTTTCCATCTACGTGACCTATTTTCCGGGTCCAACCCAACACAAAAAGATAACACTCCCTTCAAAATAGGAAACAAAATATGCTTTCTAAAAACTAAAGATAACTACTACTATTTCTATTTCTTATTACCCATTCCATGTCCTTCATTAAAAGATAAACTTCCTTAACTATATTTTCTCCTCCACGAAGAGATGACTTCCTAAAGGATAAACTTGTATCCACGTAAATCCAAAACCAAGCTCCCATTTTTTTGCACCCACATAACTCCAACACAAAACCTAATTGCATAAGATAAACCTTTGCATATTAAAAACAAAACTTAATCTATTCAATGGACTCTATCACTCATAATTAAAAATGATGACCAACTCTTGCAAAATAAAAACAGACTCATAAAAATAAGACTTATCAAAACTAACTCCAAAAATCTAATTTTTAATAGTTAATCTTAATAAATAAAGATAAAAATTCTACCCAAACTCTAAAAATAAAATTAACAAAATTAAAATTAAAATTGGTAACCACCAGATTTTGATCTGCATCAGATTCCCAATAATGAGAATCACGATCCAATAAAATAGGAATAGTGATTCCTAGTTGTAGGAATCGGTATCGCATCATGTTGGAATCGAGTTTCCTACGTTTCAAGAATCGCACATGACCCCACACCGTTCAATGGCACCGAAATCACAATTCGACGAAATAGGAATCGTGATTCCTACATTACTAGAACCGTTGTTCACATCGATTTGGATTCAAAATTCCGCAATGCATGAACAGCTTACCAATCCCCTCCCGTACATGAGAGAACTATTCTGCGAGAAAAGATTTCAATTTTTACAATTTTCACAAGCTTAAAATCTAGAATCCATATTTTTAGTCCAATTACCAAGGGCAACCATGTTATGCGGATTGATATCTTTGTCGACTCGGTCTACCAAGAGCCCTTTGACGCAGCACTCCACACAGCTAATGAAAACAAGGTCGAGCTCCCTTTATCTCCTTTCTTGGAGTTCATAAAACCAATAAATGAACTAGAAATTCTCAATCTTTATTAAATGTAGTTTCGAAAAGTGAGTTATTTGATTTTAATTAAAGTTCTTCAATTTAAGGATGAATTTAAACCAAAACACCCATTAATACCATCATTTATCTAACACTATTAAATTTGAAGCAACAAATTCTTTTTAATTAAATTTTTTTAGGTAAATTGATTTGATGCTAGGGAATTTGAGTACACAGTAGAAACTAGAAATACAGGAAATTAAAATTTCAAATATTCCTCAAATTTGAAACTACAATTTCAATGCCTATGCTCCAACTTCCAATTGTCTTTTTCACACTCATGCTCTCATTTTTAGTACCATAGATGATCATTAATAAGCATTTTATTGATCATCCACTAAACATGCCCCAGATATCCTTTACTTCGTAGAGTAAAGGATCAATAATAAGCATTTGGTTACTGCAAACATTCTATATGAAAGTCTTAGCTTGAGGTGGCACTGCCACTTAAATGCCTTACCTTGAGGTGGGGCTGCCACCCCCTATGTGATTTACAGCTTGATATATCTGTTGGGTAACTTGACAAAGATTATTGTACATGGATTCATCTCAAATTCTATAAAAGCTTTTTGGCTCTCACAACACCACAGTCCCGAAACCTAAATCATCGGTATTTAACCTTGTACAAAAATGTAATATGATATGAAAGGATTCCTAGAACTTCTCCGATAACATAAAATGGGTTCCTGGAGCTCCTCCAGCAACATACAATTTGCAAGCATATTTTATTTAACATTTGCATTCGACTCTTGATTCCCTGTTATTAGAACTTGATTCGATGTTGATCGAAACATTGTTAAGTGCATCTACGAACTGCGCCTTTTGACGAAATGGATGTAGCTTCCAAACAACATGGATTCACGATTCACAAAAAATTGGAATCAATGTGTCGCACACATTGAATCGCATTGTTGTGCAACTATGAATGGCAAATTCTACACTATGGAATATTTATTCCAAGCTTCAAGGAATCAAGATTCAAATAATAATCTGGAACATGTTTCAAGAAACTTGGAAACGTGATTTTGTCTTCCAGAATCGTGTTTCATCATGGGAACCACAGAATAGCAATTCTGAAATGGGATCGTGAATATATATATATATATATATATATATAGAGAGAGAGAGAGAGAGAGAAAGAGATATAGATATATATTCAGTACACAGTTTTGGTATACAGCCTAAACATATCTATTCATCAACTCTTCAACCACCCATCCAACTCCTACCCAAACCATCTAATTTGATATTGTTCAAAATTTACAAGATAGTTCAGACCTTAGTCAAATTCCTAGTATAGAACCCAATCTGCCCCACAAACCTCTTTAAGTCTTTACTTTCTAACCAAGTTTATAATCCATGTTACAGCCTCCTACAGTCGTGACACTCTCCTGAACCATTAGCCCCCTGCCTTAGATTATCTGAATACCTTTAATCCAAGTCCAAACCCTGGGCTAACCTTAACCCTGGTATAGCCGTAGTAATCCTATTCCAGTCTTAGTTACAGTTTTCCCAAGCCTAAATATTAAACCTAAGTTATTTAGGATCCTTTAGTCAACCATAAACCTTGCTTCCCTCTACTGCCAAGCCCACCAATAGTAAGACACTTTTTTTGGGTTCAACTTTATATTTTTTCCTTAGATTGGACCTACATCAAACTGGAGCTCTGTTTGACATGCTAGACACCATCATGGATTAGGGTTCAAAACAAAGATTCCAAGATGACAGAAGCAAAAACCAAACCTATGAAAGCAGAGAAGGAACAAGATATTCGGGTTATAAAGTTCCAATAGAAGTGGTAAATACAACTATTGTAAAAATTTTGGCTCTTCAAAGTGCACTTTGGACTGATGCTTCTAGTCTTTGGACTGAAGCTTCCAAATTACAGCAGTTAACATGCAATACTTTTAGAGTTTTATAGTAACATGCAATACTTAAATTTACTTCAGAAGAGTTCAAGAAAAAGCTGATTGCTGAAATAGAATCTGCATGTTAAGAGGAATCCAAAGGCTTTAGTTCCTTATACGCACCTAGAGGAATCTATGTTAGCAATTTTTTGTTTTTTTTCTTTGATTCTCTGAATGAGCAATCTCCCATTGCACAGATATCATGGGGGCAACCTAACCAAAATCAATCTTATGTCTAAGTTCCAAAGTGAAAAACAACCCCCAAATAACCTTTATTAAAACAGCTATGAGCAAAAGAAAACTAGACGTAAAATAAGATGATATGCAAATTCGAAAGTATAAGACGAGGGTGTCACATTATCTTTTACACAAGGACTTCATGTTACAATGTGGAGGAAATTTATTATTCTGGTATAATAGCTAATAGTGGATCTCACGGACTAGCAATAAGTTGGATATAGGAGATCTTTTTCCAAAGATCAATAGCCAAAAAGATATATTTTATCGCTACAAAACCTCTGCTATGACTTCATCAATAACAAAGTAAGGGCATGAATACTACAATTTTGAAAATACATGGCTTCACAGCAGCTAATGTCTCACTGTGAAAATTCAAAAATAACCTCATAATTAATGTCACCAAAACACAAAAGTGAACCTGAATTAAACCCGATAAAAAAAAAATTGTATAAAATCATCATAGCAAACTTAGTATAAATATATTCTATTCATGTAAAAATAAGCTTGAAGACTGTAGGCTAACCTGATTTCAGACATCCTTCCAATTTCCCGATGCGAATGGCCACTGGCAAGTTAATATCACAGGATAAAAAGAACCTGAACTCGTCCCCACTCATCACATAACAATTAAATTCTTGATCTGAAACACCATCAAAGCCCCCTCTATTCCAACTTTTTCTACACTACAATAGTAAGCAACCAAAAACTCCTCAGTAAAAAAATATTAAAAGAAATAATTAGTAGAAGGAAATAGAAAATCGTGCGACTATTGTCCATATCTATCACAATTCTGAAGAAATCCCACATAGTCCAGAAATATTTCAAGAACTACTAAGAAAATCTGATCAAGCAAAGGCACTGAGAAAAATCACTATTTTTTTTCAACTGAAACAAGCTGAAATGTTTTTAGAACTAAAACCCGAATTTTGTCCACCCCGCCCCCAAAAAAAAACCCCTAAAACAATAGTAAAAACTAAAAAACCAGAAAAAATACAACAAACCAAACCTATACCTTTTTTGAAAAAAAAAAAATTACTGAGATTGGAATTTTGTTGTGCATTTACCATGAAGAATCCTTATGCTATGGTTATAATGCCTGTTCTATTTAACCAAGTAAGCAAACCCAAATATCAAAGTTAGAAGAAATTTTGCTTTTGCCATTAGATGCTGACAAATAGAGCACATCGTTAGGAGAAATTTGTTTTTGCCATAAGATTCAGAGCAAATAGAGGACACCATCAATATCATGGAGTCATCAACAGCCTCATATACGATGATTTATCTCCAACAAATAAATAAAAGAAAAACCAGCAAATAAATACATAAAAAGAAAACCAGCAAAAAGTAAAAGAAATAAAAACCTTAGCTTGTTGAAGATGATGATGAGACTTGAAAAGTGTTTCTCTTTTGTGAGAGCGCGACGAGCAGAGTTGAGGGAGAGGACACAGGGGGTGAGAGAGAGTAGGGAGGGTTAGAGAGAGGCACTGTTGTTTTATTTTGAGAAACTTCACGCTAACCCCTTTTCTTTCGATGTCGGGTCCGACTGCCCGGGACTTGTTTTCGCGGGATTCATGCCGCAGACGGGTGAAGTCGTTCCCAGTTTTCAAAACAACGAATCGGCCCGATCAGATTAGTACGATTCCGACGTTATAATCCGAATGGTGTGTTTACCTTTTTTGAAAAAATTCCCATTATATCGTCCAATTAGTGTAAACGATTTTTAAAAAAAAATGGGACATGTAATCTCTAATATGGCGATCACGAATATGAAAAAATAATAAATTTTAAAAACTAAAAATAATAATTCTACTAAAAAATATTGGGAGCACTAGTTTCCATTGTTTTTAGATGGAACACCTACTTGCATTAAGAAGGATGCTTTACATTTTTTGGACCCATATCTAGTCATGCAGTCCACCCCACACGAAACAATTTTTCTTGTTTTTTTGGGTATTTTGAAATTCAATTAGAAGGATAAGTAAAATATAAAATTATTTGCCCCTTTGTGGCAATTTTGATAAATTTGTATCTCTCTCATACCTGTGTCTATGTGTATGTCTATGTGCCCCTCAACGGGTCGGTGGTGTAGGTATTATTAGATTGAAGATCAAATCAAATAAACAAAGAATAAATTTTATATCCCCCGAGTTGACGGACTTACGAGCTTAGCACTCTGTCGTGCTCGACCAACTCTGGTGCGTCTGAGTCTACTCACCCAAGGCAGCAAACCTACATTTAGCAAATAAAAAATTTGGGAAACTTGTTTCATGTGGGTTGGACCGCTTTTCTACAATATGCCAGCCAGATATATAAAGCATCCATCTTAAAGATGTGGATGCAAATAGAAGCTCCATCTAAAAACAATTGTAACTAACTGTCCAAGTGTATTTCTAATTTAACCATTATTTCAAGTTTTCAAAAAAAAAATTCATATTCATGATCTCCATGTTAAAGATTATATATTCTCTAAAAATTACGATCAAATTATATTTAACAATATATTTATTGCCAAGCCTACATTTTTACAGTATACTGGATGGCTGCATAGAAACTATGTCCAAAAATTTGTAATAACATACAAAGTTTTAAGTAGAGAAATAGAAGAATAGGAAAAAGAAAAAAAAAAAGAGAAATATATAATGAGCTTTACACGTGAACTGTAAATGTGCGCCACTACATGTTACATATCAAAATTGTTTCATATTATAAGTTTTCATGGGAAGCAAACAAGTCCTAAATGATTGCGAGAGAACGAGCTTTCATTCTTTTTTTCCCTTTTTTATGTTGAGCTTCAACCTTCCAAATGTTCGGCCATGGGCATGTGTTTGATTGCTGGAAGATAAATATTCCCTAAAAACTAGAAGTTTGTCTTTGTTGGAAAGTGGAATTTTTTGGAATAGAATGGAAGTTTTTGGTACATGTGTTTGATGACCTACTAGAATATTAAGGAAGTTTTAGGTACATGTGTTTGATTACCTACTGGAAAATTGAGGAAGTCCTAGGTACTTGCGTTTTATATATTGCATGGTGTTGAAAGGATGATAGATTTCATTTTCTTTAATTTTTTCTTGGGAAAATTACATATATATATGTTATATATATTAATATTACAACTTCTTACCAATTTTTCTTTAGAATGACGAAACTACCAATTTTTGGTTTTTCAAAAACCAAAATCTTTCAGTTTTTCAAAACAAAAAATTCACTTAATTCAGTTTCTGAAAATTCGAAATTATATATCGTCCCTCGATAACTAAAACCCCTTTTTCCTTTGTTCCCTTCCATCCATTGCCTTTTTTTTTTTTAGTAGAGAGATCAACCACCTAGCTACTCGAACGAATGAGGAGTTTTAACACTTTGAAAAGATGGATGAAGAGAGACGACTGAGAGAGAATTACTAGTCAAGGTTAATGGAAGATCATGAAGTGCCTGAATGGGCCTTCTCAATCTCCAAAATAGAGAAAACCGAAGCCAAAGCTGACAATAACCATGTTACTGGAAAGAGAAAACATAAAGAGGTTGTTTACGTCGATTCTCTAAGTGATTTGCAGTGGATGGAGATAGCTGAAGGGGAAGCAAATGTATCTCAATTTACTAAGAAAACCAAGAGAAAAGAGCAAACCCCAAATGGGTTTGTGCTACTAGAGAGAGAAAAGAATAGTCCCTCTATGGTTTTAAGCACTCCTATGATTTTAAGCACAAAAGTAGGGAATGCATCAAATTTAATGGCTGGAAGTGAGGATATGGTGAATGAGATAGTTGACACTAATTTTAAGGTTCTGGAAGACCTTAAATTTAATAAGGCCAAAATTGATGAAGATGAGAGAGAAAATGTGTTACGTGTCTTTTTATTGTTATCTGTTTGTTATGAATAAGGTTCGCATGGATAAGTATGGAGTCATGTTAGGAGTCTTTTGTGAGTTGTTAGTTTGAACTGATTTAGTGGGTTGTTAGTTTATTTTAGTGGTTGTTAGTTATTAGTGGGAGTTGATTTTTTGGCTCATATATTGTAAGTGGGTTATTCTATTTAATGAATGGTAATCCAGGTGGGAGGGGCACTTTTTAAACTAACAACACCTATGTGTTAACGAGGCCAGGTTTCCTCAATTAAACCTACTCTTTTGTTTTCTTCTCTGTACAACTTCTTTTGTGGTCAGCACCATAGGTATGTCTAAGAACAAGAAGGTTTCACCTCAGTAAGTACCATTGTGGTATCAGAGTAATGGCATGGATCAGTGAGTGGAGAAGTTGGAAGGTGAGGTGAGCTCTCTCAACGTTGGCCAGCAACAAATCATGGACAAGCTTAATGAGTTGTTCAAAAAGCTTAGTTCGTATTCCGGTACTATCTAACCTGAGAGAGGAGAGAACTCCAGAGCTTCACTCCCGAACAATGGTAAAAGCTCTGGGTACACCAATGGTAACCGTCAACACGGAACATAGCAGTCCTTCGTCCCAAAGCTTGTTAAGCTCGATTTTCCCCTCTTTAATGGCAAAGAGGACACGACGAGCTGGACTTGCAGGGTGGAACAGTTTTTCCAGTTCCATCAAACATCAGAAGAAGAGCATGTGGCTCTTGCATCCTTCCATCTGGAGGGTGACGCCTAGTTGTGGTACCAAATCTTCAAATAAGAAGTAGGCGAGATATCTTGGCAAAAGCTTTGTGATGGGGTGCACACCAGGTATGGACCTACTCAACTCCAAGACTTCTTTGGAGAGTTGACTTAGTTGCAACAAGCTGGGAACGTTCGGGGCTACCAAACCCAATTTGAGAAGCTTTTAACTAAGGTGGGGTATCTCCCGCCCTATCGCTAGGTTAGCTGCTTCATCAATGGGTTGAAGGACAACATCAAAGCGGACGTTTTGGCAAGGCGTCATACCCTCTTGGGTACTATTGGGTTAGCCCGCCTTTATGGAGCTCGCAATTTCTCTCAACGGTGAGCTGACGCACTGACTGACATGAAGAAAACTCCTATTACCAGCAAGGAAACAACCAACAATGGCCATGTACTTCCGGTTCGACGATTGTCACTTGTGGAGATGCAAGCTAAGGGCTTGTGCTTTAACTGTAATGAGAAGTTTGTACCTGGACATCGCTGTAAGAAGTTGATCTTAATTGAAGGTTGCTATGAAGATGAAGTTGACTACAATAAATCAGGCCCGTAAGAAGATGTTCCAGAAGAGTTTCGTGAGCTTCCCGAGATCTCTTTGCATGCAATTTGGGGGATACAAGCTCCCAAAATTATGCGTGTGAAAAGTAGCTTCGGACATATTGCGGTCGTGGTTTTGATAGATTCGGGAAGCACTCATAATTTTATGAGTGAAACACTTGCAAAAAAGGTGGGTCTGTAACCATCCAGTGGTAGCTATTTTGAGGTGATGGTGGCGTCCGGGGAGAAACTTCTTAGCCTCGGTAAGTGCTCAGACCTTAAGTTAATTTTGCAAGGTGTCCTAGTTAACGTAGATTTTTATTTACTTACGTTGGAAGGCTATGAAGTTGTCTTGGGTGCCCAGTGGTTAAGAACACTTGGCCCCATTATGTGGGACTTTGCAAGGTTATTGATGATCTTCAAGGTGGTTGGAAAAGAAGTAACTCTTAAGGGAGTTACCTCATTCAATGATAAGGTAATTGGATATCACAAGTTCAATAGTAAAGCAAGGAGCAATAAGAAGGGAATGTTGTTACACTTATATTCGATTGGGACTCCACTTCCTACGACTAATGGTGAAAATCAACCTACTTGGTTGCAACGAATTTTGGATGAATTCCAAGACGTGTTCGAGGAGCTCAAAGGACTACCACCTCCTTGATCACATGATCATAGGATTCCATTGAAGGTGGGAAGCAATTCGGTGTGTATCACGGCTTACCGCCACCCACATTACCAGAAGGTGGAGATTGAGAAGTTGGTGGCCGAAATGCTTAGTTCGGGGGTAATACGCCCCAGCAACAGCCCTTATTCCTCGTCTGTAATATTAGTTAAGAAGCATGATGGGTCGTGGCGTATGAATGTAGATTACCGTGGCCTTAACAAGGTCACTATCACTAATCGATTTCCAAAGTAATTGGCGAGTTACTGGACGAGTTGAACGGAGCAAGTGTTTTCAAAACTGAATGTGTTCTGGATATCATCAAATCTGAGCAGTCCGGAAGACGCGAAGAAAATGACATTTAAAACGCACCATGGCCACTATGAATTCCTTGTAATGCCTTTCGGACTTACTAATGCACCATCAACCTTCCAGTCCTTAATGGATTATGAGAAATGTCAGTTTGGCCAAGGTGAGGTTCACTATCTCGGTCATATAATTTATAATGCAAGAGTGGTGGTTGATCCTGACAAGATCTCTGCCATGTTGAGTTGGCCTAAGCCAAAAAACCCCAAAGCTATGAGATGTGTTCTTGGTTTAACCGGTTACTACCGGAAGTTCATCCAAAATTATGGAAAAATAGCTGAGCCACTCACTTACATGCTTTAAAATGATTCGTATTAAGTGGACCCCAGCAGCT